TCTTTGTTTGCCAAGCAATGCTTATTTTAAATCTTTGAAGATCGTGCATATTTGTCTTTAAAGTATGCCAGAATTTACTCAGTTGACATGTTAAAACAGATTTTTGTTTTTTTTGGAAACACTAACCTCAAAATGTGTTTAAGGTGGAAAATTAAAACCTTTTTGAAGGTCTGCCTGAATCAAAACACATTTTGTGTAAGTAAAAAGTTAGTAAGATAACTAAAAGGATGTACTTAAGCTGCCAAACTCCCAGTTGCAAATCCCAGGAGATTAGATAATAAAAATGCCATTACATTATGATCTATATATCAATAAAGACTTCATAAAAAAAACTTCAGAAAATATCAACTAATTAAAGTTTTAGTGTTGAAAATAAGCATGAATATTTCAAGATCATATTAAGTGCTCAAAATCTCTTCACAGAACCCCACATCACTGAAATTTAAACCATCGCTTACGTAGAATTCACATGATTCCTTCTTCAATTATTTATGCAACCAATAAGGCAGGGTGGCATTATGGACTGACTGTTAGTGGTTTCAGTATTTTGGAAATATCTCAGAACACTGATAGCGAGGCACTTGTTATGCGTATGACTTCAAAGTTTTTGGAAAAAAAATCTAAAATCAAAGACAGATACAAGAGTGACAAAAAGGAACATGCTCCCAAAAAAAAAAAAAAGTTAAGACTGTCCACTGTAAAAAGCAGAGCATATAAAATAAAAGCCAGTTAATTCATTAAAAGTATTATTATTATAATTTTTTTTTTTTTTGCCAGTGAGAGGGTTCCGTATATCAAACAATTGAGTGCAAAAAAAAAGATCACAAACCAAAGACCAGTTTACTTTGTTGCAGTTGTCCACATCACAGCATGGGGGATCAGAGAGATTGCATCAAATGGAATGTAACTAAGATCCACAGCACCACATGGGAGACAGACAGAGAGCAGGCTCAGTAGCTCAGTCTGGGACCGTAAACATCGCATAGCCAGCTTGTAAAGATCAAACAGCAGGGCTATTTTTTTAAACTTGTACTTTTATATATATATATATATACTTTTAGTGTTCAAATAGTACAACTGCATGCAAAGCATTCCCATTTCAAACAATGCAAAAATGAGGTAATTGTTTTTTTCATAGCTTTTCTTGTGTTATTTCTAAATAAATAAATTATGACTCAGTCATTCTCTAAAAAAACTCTATAAAATTAAATACATCCCCACAATATCTACAATTAGTAATAAATTATGATTGTTAAATACTTAAGGCATTTCAGCTGACAACACCCTGTGTAAACTATGAAAACTTCATCACAGATGTCTCCACTAAAGGAGGAGGCAGAGTCAACACTCGCAGTGCACAAGACGAGAATTGAATGGTCTGATCCTTTGCCATCACAGTGCATAGGACAGTGCAGGTCCTAATAGTGATTTTTAACACATGGCTTTGTGGAACAGGGAAGAGGGGGAAAAAAAGGGGGGTTGTTTTCCTGTTGTTACTTTACCTTGCGTCTGTGTGCACTGCAAGAGTGAGGCTGCCTTCGTCGCCTCACGCCCTATGTTTTCTAGGAGTACAGCATAGCAACCAGCAAAGCAACCACGAAGGGAGGCCTGTCACACAAACACACAGGATCAGTATGTAAAAAAAATGCTCCCCTCTCATTTAAGCACTGCATTAATCTATATCCAAAGCAATTCCAAGGAAAACAGCTTGTTGCTAGAACTATTGTAATATGTGCTTGCTCTTTATAGGCAATAAGGTAAACATCAAGATAATCCCACCCTCGTCACTGAAGGGGACAGGATGAACACAAGCTACGAGTCAGGGGAGCAGCCGCTGTCTGACGTTCGTTTTGTTAGTGTTGAGAAGAAGGTCAGAGCTCAGATTAACTAAGTCATGCACAGGAATCTTTGTACCCTTTCAATTAAGGTACGGTAATGCTGCCCGAGGTGACTTTTAATATCAACTACATAACATGCATTGCTAGTAGACTTTATTTTGTTATTTGACTAGTTAAAGTACAAAATAGGTAGAAGGACAATTAGGTCCTTCATTCTTCTGTATCTCTGCAGTGCATCATAGGCATGGGCCAGTCTATAGTACTGAGGTTTAGAAAAGTTTGAGTTTGAGAACTGCTAAATTTTTTTATCCTACAGACTAAACTTATTTTACTGAAATGCCCAGAAAGGTGTTATGATGCCCCCTTTCCCCTATTTGTTGCTACACACAGCAGATCAGCTATTTGGCAGGACTTTACCAAATTTCTTTCTTAATAAAAGAAAAAAAAACTATTTCAGTTAAAATATTTATCATCATGATAGAAAGAATAAGCTAAATGAATAACATTGATCACTCAGATAATATAACTCAGTTTTAAAACATCAATTAAGGAGCTTAGAGTAGCATGCTTCTAATCAACCCAATACTGGCAAACAGCCACAGCAGGTAGCTTCATTAAGCAGGTTTTTTTCTCCAACTTCTAGTTTGTTTTATAGCTAATTGTACACAAGAGGCTTCATGTTTAGTCTGAAATCCAATTAGTTTTTTTTATTTTTATTGTATTGTTTTAATAATCATACACAGACATATTCATGCAAAGCTCTGTCATGTGAGGTGCTGTTCACAGGGGAATATATTACTAAAAAAAGTTACGTTTAATAAACTGTGGCTGAAATATCACTTTAGAAGTATCCACCAAAGAACTTTTTTTTTTTTTTTAAGTTAGTAACAGAAATCCTGCAGAGGAAAAGCCTAATCTCACATTTTTGTTTGTCTGCTACAGACTAGATCAACTTTACATTTGAGGCAATTTCATATTCTGAAAAACAAAAAGGCTTTATTTAGGATTTTAGGTACAAGAACTAAAATATACAATACCTACATCTTTTTATGATTGGTGGTAACATATTAGAGCATGACATCCTGGTCAATCGCTTGGCATATTTCCTACCACGTCATTTCCTAGATGAACAAATATACAGAGACCATTCTCACACTGAGTATAAAAGAACAAAAAAATAAATAAACCCAGATCAACATACTTTTTTTAACTCTCCAATTTCAACTGTAACAATTGAAAAAGCAGCTAAATCTGGTACTTTACCTAATCACAGCAATTTTTTAGGTCTTTAAAGCTACAGTGTGTAATTTTTTAGCGACATCTAACGTTCAGACTGCAGACCGCAGCAACATGAACATCTCCCCCCCACCGCTTCTCCCCCCCAACAGTACGGCGAGCGTTACGGGACAAAATGTCTTCCAGGACGTCCGCATCACCTACCTTCTCAAGTGATGAGGTTTGTTTACATAGATCATTTTAATATTGCCATCTATTGTTCAGTACCGTCTCAGTTCATCTCTCTCAACTTGCCGTAGTTACTTTCGAGAGTAATGGGCGATCTCGCAATCGCTAGTTTGTTGGCTCTGCGCTGCCGTAGCGCAAAGATGTCTGCCTCCATGGCTGCGAGACCCGCTCCTATGTAATTATAAATAATGAATTCTAAGGCAACGCAAATATTAAGGTTAAGAGGCTGAGCTCGTAGATGATGATAAATAACATAGTTATGTATAATATATTACATTTCTGACTGTATATCCCTGTAATTATTACACACTGTAGCTTTAAAAGATGAAGGAGCTTGAATAATTATGAGTTATTTTCAGGAGTTTAAGTACATATTCCCCTATGCTTTTATCAATATTGACCTTGCAAAATAATTTTTGTTTGTAATTAAGAATGCTGGTCCTGAAGTTGCATACATAATTCATGCAAATAATGAAGCATCTACACTGTTTTAGGGAAAGATGGATGCTGGAGTTAATCTACTGAACAGAGTGAAAAAATATAAAGTAATTTGTGCTCAATTAGCATCTGAAAACTACTAGCGTTTGTCTTTTCTATAAATGATAGCTAATGCAAGTTTAAAAAAACTGATAAGTAAATATTAACAATATTAAAACTATGTTTCTAATGCTCGAAACATCATTTTTTTCTTTTTTCAGAAGTAAGTTGAGTTAATTGTTTTCATTCTGTCTTAAGCTAAAACAATTATTTAAAAGTTCTCTCTAATTACCATAATAAGTTCAAATCAATTGTTATCGTACCTCAAGAATCTCGTACTGGCCCATGCCTAGTGCATGATAACTTCTTTTCCTCGTCCCCATTTTTTTTGGTTTCATGTTGTATAAGAGCTCTGGCGGCTGCTGTATCTAACCTATGTGGTCTGAATACAGATATTGCCCCTAACTCTTAAAGCAAAGTTGACATGCCGCTGAAAATATTGGTTTAGTTAAACACACCAGGTCAGAGCATACATGCACGCACATAAACACACACGCACACGCACCAAACCTGTGTGTAGATCCAGGCTACAACGCAATCAAATGCATTTTTTTAAAACATACCAATTAAAAAAAACACTTTCTACTTATTTGTAACATTTTAAACACAAAACCAGCCAATCACCAGGGTTCTGGTCACACAGGAGTGAAAGAGACCCACTAAAATGACAACGCCCAGGTAAAAAATACGGCTGTATTGCAAAAAGTCAAAGCTGTATGATATGATCAAAACACTTAGCTAGCTAGTGCTTCGACCCAAAAAGGCGATAGTCCACCAAATATCACTTGTTGGTTACTGCTACTCTACTACGACCACAAAGATCTTTAGGGTAAACATGGCATCCGAGCAGTTTAGTATCTGTTAAGCATATGTCTGTGTCAGAATCAGAGGAAAGAGAGAAAGCAGAGAGTTTAGTGTGTGATTATGTGTTTTCCACTGATCAGACAGAGAGTCATGGCTTTGAGGACATGCTACACAGCCCGTGGCTACCTACAATACAACACCACAACTGCAACAACACCCCACTCACAACCAGCAAGCTACAAGTAAACCCTGTGTACATGAGGAAAGTGTGTGGTTTTGGGTTCCAGTGTCGTTTGCTTCCCAGAAGGATGTGCTTCTATATAAAGAGAGTCATTTTCAGCCTCTCATGCTGTTCTAGCTTGGCTCAATAAAGCGTTAATTAGACAGGGTTTTTTTTTTTTTTTTCATTGCCGCGTGAAGTCTGGAGACATTTGGCAAAGCACCCACTAAGGTGGGGGGAGGGAGGTTTGGAGGGCACACATGGACTGTGTCATGTGGGAGCTGACCGGCAAGCCAGGATGGAAGAGAGAAAGGAATCACACAAGAGTGAGTGAATCACAAGGAGTCAAATCTCATCAGCTGTCGGGGTTCAGCTGTGTTTCGATGTCAACCCGACAGATTGGACACTTCCTGCTGGTAGCCAGCCATTGGTCCACACAGCCCTGGTGGAAGAGGTGCATGCAGGGCAATCGCCTGGAAGACATAGAGACAGCAGAGTGGATTCATATAGACTCCCTTAATGAACATAGTTACGTGAGAGTTAGAAACCTCTAAAGCCAGGGGAAAAACATTTGTTTATTCGGGCATAGAGGTTGCTTCTGTTCAGTCGTCATTCTTCACCCACTTACCTCTCAGACAGCTGGGACCCCTTATGCTGAAAACCAAGCCGCTTTCTTACCCCCAGGGTGCTGTTCTTATTCCCCATAAGATTATGTTTCCAACTTGGTTTGAGTTTCATGTCCATGTGCATCATTCTTTAAGGAATAGATCCACACTCTGAAGTTTGTAAAATATACGAATTTCAGTGTCTGTAAAATATAACCCATTTTAATTTTTTTGTCCTGAAGTTTAAAAAGTAGGTGGCAAATAAAGCACAAATACTTTTGCCACAGAAAACAAGCCAACATTTTGGATAAAGAGATGGAATAATAAAGAGAACCAGGAATTTAATTGACATGTGTTGACACACATTATAATGTTTCAGTGCAGAAAAACATAAAAATATATTTCATAAAGCTGCTTTCACTTGTTAATAATCAGTTATGGAAATGCTTTAGCATTAAATCAAAGTTTTAATTTTCCATATCCATGCAGAAAAGATTTTTCTTTACTTTTATTTTCTCATCAAACAGTGACTTCCTGTAATATTTCAGCTGTAGTAGTTCATTTGTGGCCGTGCGTCTAATTTTAAGGCACATTCAGAACAAAAAGATTTTGTTCATGATGAAAAAAGATTTAAAATAAAGTGTCATTGATTTTTACTGAGATGGATAAATTGAGGGATTGGAATTGGGTCATTTCTTGCTCATCGTCAGCTACATCTGCTTCTGTAGTTGCCTAGCAACCGTATAGAGCAAAGCATCATTCAGTGAAAACTGAGCAACCTGTCGGCTTTACACTTCTACCAACTTTGTGCATCTCATTTCCATTTGGCTCCCAGAATTACAATCTAAGATTTATGAACAATTTGTTAATAGATAAAGCAATCATTTGACATTTATGGATCTCCTGGTTTAGTTCAAGAGGGACAAAAGAAAACTTTTCTAATTATTTTGCAGTTATAGAGCGTCACCTACCTGACATCCTCTCCATCCTCCAGCATGGACAAACAGATAGTGCACTTCTCATCCACGTCTGTTTCCTCCTCCTCCTCTCCAATCTTTAGTTGCAGAGGTTTTCTCTGTTAGCAGATCAGATCCCACAGAGATAAAAGCATATTTCACACTAATCTAAAATAATAATGCTTGTGCCTCTTTGTTGGTCCGATTATCTGCAATACCTTCTTGTATTTGTGTGGAAAAGTGAATCTTTCTATTGTTGTCTGGACTGCTCCCCTGCTGACGCTTCCCAGTCGGTCCTCAAGCTGCAACAGCTCCTGTTCAAACAGGACATGTTAATTAGGATGATAACATACTATTAAAAAACAGAAATAGTACAATAAGGGGAGAATTTTTCTTATTTAAAGTGAAGACAGACAAAGCTGATTAGAAACAGACCACTACTTAAGAATGCAAAGCAAGTAGATATTGATATTCACTGTTTATACATTTCAAAGTTGAAGGTTTTACCTCATAACTTTCCCGCACAGCTGTGGCGTGCCTTGAAGGATTTAAACTCTGCAGGGCCAACAGATGCAGCTGAGGATATGGGTAATTTCTAATTTCATGAACAACCTGAAAAAGAAAAAAAAAAGCATTAACAGGATTAGATTAACTCAAATTTAGTTGACAAAAAATGGAAGATGTTGCCATAGATGTAGTCTATTACAAGGTTTAGCTAGCTTAAAGACAAACATAAGTATCACATACTGGGATACTTATACAAAAAAAAGGAAAAAAATCAAACTATATACTGTAAACAGTCAGTGAGTTGGTGAATAGCTTAGCAGTTGCAGAACAGAGAAGAGTAAAACAGTAAAAACACACAACCTGTTCAATAAATTCATATTCCGTAGCTTTCGTGATGGACCAATCTTCATCTTCCGTCTTAGATTGATAAACATTTAAAGATCGCTGCAAACCTAACGCTATCAATACGAACAGTTTCAGTCCTAAATTAACTCATTTACAACTTTGTACTTCTGAAGTTTTCCTTGTTTCTTGCCTGATTTTTGGGGGGTATTTCTGGCATGTGATCTCTATGTTATTTTGATAGTTGCTGAAAAGTAAGTTTCTAATTCTATAATTTAATTCTTTAGTGTGTCTTTATTCAGTGATATCTTTCTGAAGGTTGCTGCTCAGTTTTACTTTGTGTGGTGAAGGGTTTAATTATGTCATACGTTACTATAGTCCCTTTAGGTCAGGAGCATACACTGGGACAAAATATATATTTTTGTTTTTTTGTTAAGTCAGGACATTTCATATTTCACAAGAAACTAACAAGAGGTCCTCATAGGGTCCACTCCTCAGGGTCAGCATGGCTAAGAATAGTAACTATGATCACTTTAAATCTCAAATAAAGATAGGTTAAACACTCTGTGCAAAGAGAATGATCAAGAACAAGCTCCTATTCACAGCCCAGCTGCAAGATTCTGGAAAATCTGAAGACGTGAAAGTGACACCTGACTAACCCCAACACTAAGTGCATTGCAATAATCAAGATGGGTTGTAATAAAGGCATGGCCTAATTTCCTTAAGTCATGTCTGGTTAGCACTACGTGATGCTTAGCTGTATGTCTTAGGTGAAAGAAAACCTTTACTTAGAGCAGAATTAATCTGAGGATCAAAATTTAAGTCAGACTCTAAAATCATCTAAAATCATTCCCAGATTTACAAAAGACTACTTTAGACAACGTTTAAGAGCACCAACGTTCAAGGAAAGAGAGCAAGTAGTAGAACTAAAAATGAACACAATGACCTCAGTTCTTCTTTCAATGAAATGTAAAAAAAAATTAGACAAAAGCATTTAATTATTGACACAGCCAAACACAAAAGAACAAGATGGTGGTTTTCCTTTAAGAAAAAGATGTTAAATCATTGGTAGGTGAAGTGCCTAAACAAGGACTCCCAGGCAGGTAGAAATATAGATGACTTATAGAAGAAGCTTCTGTTTCATACCTGAAGAAGTTGTCATTGGAAAAATAAAAAACTAAATAACAATTGTATGAGATTGCAAAGGAACAAAATAACCTACATCCATCCTGGATCTTTTCCATGGCATTGTTATGTGGTTGGTATTGCTGGTGTTGTGCTCCTATTTTTGCCTTTGTTTGTTATATTTTTGTCATGGATATTTCACTTCTACTCTGCTTACACAAGCTGTTCTGGACAACTAGTGCAACAAAAGCAGCTACAGCTAAAGTCATTGCATTTTATGATGATCTGACAACACGTTTTAAAGGAAGAGGGCATCAAATCCTGTAAGTTTTTTTTTGCATTACCTATCATCAGCCATGGTCAGTTGTTGTTGTGTTTTTAGATTTGAATCCTTGTTTTACATTCTTAATACTCATCAACCAGATAAAAAAGAGAATAACAGAGAAACCAACAGTACCACTTGGGCAGATGATGTGTTCCTGGGGAAGTGGTGCATTCGAGGGGAGGTCAGGTAATGCTGATAGTGCTGCGGAAGCTGCTGGAGTTGGTACTGAGGAGGGAGAGCAGCATCTACACTGAGATCCCTGAAGAGAGAGAGGAACAGATGAGTGGGACTAAATCAGCATTATTACTCTTACAAGACAGATGGGCACAGAGAGGAAAATATAGAATAATTTCTCAACTCAGAAGGATTCTAGTTAATCCCAGATGAGGACTCACCAGTCGGTGCCTTCAGCCAGGTATCGTTGCTGCTGTGTTATTGGCTGAGGAACATGGATGGGAGGGGAGTATTCATAACCTGAACGCAACCGATGAGAATTCAAAGGAATACGCTCCTGGGTTCTTCTGAAATTAGATTAAAAGGCGTTTTTTCTTTAATTGAATTTCTAAGTATTTGCATGTGAATTTGCATGCTATACCATCAGTACCTGGATGAGTGGGGAAGGATCCTGCGCTGCTGCGCTTCAAAGAGCTGCTGCTGGATGAGGTATTGCTGGTGTAAGGCCTGAGGTAGGAATGAAGGCCCTGACACGTCCTGAAACTGAGGCGGTGCAGGTAGGGCAGTGAGTGTCGGGTGGTGTGCGGTGGGTAGGTGGGCAGCCAGGCCCGCCTGCGGGGTCTGGCCGGCGTGTCCGAGAGGGAACTCTGCTGAGATGGGAGCCTGGGGTGCGCCCAGGTGAAAGTGTCGGCAGGAGGTAGCATGGCTGTGCTGATGCCTGCTGAAGTGCGCTCCTATGTGAAATAAAGGCAAATCGATGAGAGAGAACAAGACTGTGATCTTTCACACTGAGAAAGAGACAGAGTGAGAGCTCAAAAAAGATATATATGATGAAAAAAGAAGAAATCAGACTCAGAATAAGAGACACTAGGACTGAGAGGACTAAAATCTAAATTTTACTTATACTCACCAGAAAAAAAACAGAGTTGGGAAGTAACTTGTTATGTTTGGTTAATTACATAAATTTGAACAAGTTTTTTTTTAAGTGCTTTTAGGAGTAGTTGCAGGTTACTGTACCTTACACGTTTACTTAAGTAATATTCTTGCGATAGTATCACTACTCTTACTTGAGTAAAAATTCTGGTTGTTCTACCCACTATGAGTAACTATAGCAATAAAGACAAACAGAGCAAACAGTGGAAGTTCTTTATTCTTTCCTAACAAACAGCTACACTTGACAGTTGAATGATGAATTCAGACTAGTATTTCAGATAACATAGAATAGAAAAAAGTAATAATAAATAAAAATGTACTGAATGATCATTTATTAAAATAAAACAGTGATTTAGAAATTTTTTAAATAAAAAAAATATTCTTCAAAACAAAATGTTCCAGACTCAAAAGTTTTTCTAAAAAAAATGTAGTTAAGGAGCTCCATCAGGCTTACTTGTTATATATATATATATATATATATATATATATATATATATGATTTCCATTTTTTTTATATTAGTGTTTTTTATTATTAATTTTGTCAATTTTCAATTAATTTACTGCCAGCTGATTTTTTTTTAATGGAAGGGTATCTAAAGTTTCAAGCACAACTGTATGCTGACATTTTGATGTAGACAACCGTTTTTCCTATTTGAATCTGCTATTATCAAATTATGTTATTAAGTTATTAATAATTGTGTTTTTTGTTTTTTTTTGCAAATAACTGCCCGTCTGATTACATCATTTTTACACATAACACCATTTGTTTTAAATCAAACAACTTAGAGGACTACTTTCTACTTCTACTTGTGTAAAATGATGTTAAGGTAGTTCTACTTTAACTTGAGTGTAATGTTTGCGTACTCCACCCACCTCTGGAACCATGTTAACCAGTATAATATAATCTATTATGGGATATTTCAAACGACATTTAGCTGCAGTCTAAAGCAAGTAAGCTGCATGGATTTTAGCTCTACTGTGTATAATGAAAGTTATTTGAAGGAACATTAAACAAATTATTCTCATAATAACCTAATAACAGTGATGTTTTGCCCCCAACAGCTGTTAATATCAGAGACAGAAAAGTAATTAGACGGATGGAGTCAAAGTCAATCAATACAAATTACTCTCAGCACAAAGAAATTTGGACTGTAGAGAGCTTACAGTAAAAAAGCAACACGAAAAAAAAAAACAGTGTTCTGGACAAGAATAAGGAGGGTGGTCTGCTCATGATAGTAGGCCTCACCAGCAAGCATACTTAGACTGTTTTCATGCTTAATTTGTCTATAAGCATCTGTTAAACCGTAATATAGAGTGACAGTGTATGTCTAATGTGTCCATGATGAAGGGATTACTTCTGACTCTGTTTTTCTAATACATTTCATAATTGCATCCAAATTAATTTAACAGCAGAGGACTAATAGTGCACATGTGCCTCTTTTCATACCCCTCCATCTGTAATTTCAGTTTTGTTCCCATTAAGACACTTTTCAGTTCAGTTTAATTCCCTTTGAAGTTCCTTACGAGCAATGGGTTACACATAAATGAGTGTTGTATTGTTTAATAGTATATTTCAGATTTTTTTAAATTGCAGACCATTTATGTAGAGTTTGGTTTTTGATGAACTAGGGAACTTAACGATCGCTGAGAGAATGAAAATAACTAAATCGTATTTTCTCACAGTAAACATGAAATGGATTATAGAAAATCTCCTTAAATATTTCGATTTTGATAGGCATGAAACATAACAACCTCTAAATGCCAAATGCAGATGAGTTTGTGAAATGGTGAGTGAAATTAATGAACTCAAAATCAGTGTCAGATTTGCAGTTCGGACATGGTTTTAAGACCATTTAAGAGCTGATATCAATTAGCTGTGCTTGTTTAAGTGAAGTCATTGATTTCTAGATTAGTTAACTGCATGATGAAACATTTAAGGTAAGGAAAAGTAATCAAGACAAAATAGAACGAAGGAAAAGTGCTCTGGAAGCATTTTTTTTTTATAATTAGCTCCTATTAAGCAGTAAAACTTATTAAAATCTTACTCTTTTTTTTTAAGGGCACTCTAGACAATGAATATAGGCTGTTGAAATTTTAATAAACGACACGAATAAAGGAAAAATTAGCAGCACTAACTTAAAGCAACGTAACAAAATTACATTTCAATTATTTTGTAAGTTAAGTTTTTTTTGTTATTTTCTGTCTAATGTTAATGATTTTGTGTGTGTCTGTGTGTGTATGTTTGAGATGTAAAGTATCTCATGTATGTATCTGTATTCACAGCATGTTTCTTTGAATTTTATTGTATTTTTGTTCTCTAACCTTTAACTTCCTCTTATAAATCCATGCAGTTAATTAGTTTTAACATTTACCTAACTCTGCAAAAACGTGTTATGATAAATTATGAGTATTTTCTGTGACTTTGTAGTTCTGTTGTTGCTGATTTTCATTTTCTTGCCATTTTTAGTCAGTTTAGTAATTTTGACCACTGTTCTTAATGGATATGAAGATCTAGGAACCTAGAGTATAAGCACTGTCTGTCCGCTGATGGACATTTTAAAGGATCTCTTTGTGGAGATTATAAAAAATGTTTGAACTCCAAAGCCAGGATAAATCGTTATTTAATTACTTATTTTCTCAGAGTATCAAACAAAGAAATGTAGTCTTTTAGCTAAAGTCCATCTAAGGTAAATTTAATCAGACATATGCAGGTTATTTTGGACAACCTATGCTAATTAGGTGCTGGATGTTAATTCATATTAAAAAGACCCTAAGAAAAAGCAAATATTCACGGGCCTTAAAAGAATAACAACTTTGTGTTTGATTATTTCTGACATATTTACAGGCTTTCACTTCATTGCATTTAGCCTCAGGACAGAGAAGCCAGTGAACCCAAAAAAGGCACAGTCAAACATTTGGCTGAGGAAGTAGAGCAGAAATGGCTCACTGATAGTCTAGATTGGGTACTCCTTTCTGTACATCAGTTTTATTTGTGCATGTGTGATATTGTTTTATATCTGAATATGTAATAATGTAGAGCCATGAGGACTAAAGGCCCTGATGATACATTTTTCCTTTGACTTTACAGAACCAGAACCTTTTATTGGCAGAAAACAAACCATCCACCCAGAAACTCAGTCTTAGAAATTCAGCCATCCCAGAACAGCACTTGCGCAGACAGCCCCTCCCCCACAGTGTAGCTGCAGCATGGCTTCCCTGTGTGAGTGACAGTGGATTAGCCCCGCCCACTTGCGACTGCTGGCTGACATGAAAGCTGCCTTATCTCCTCCAGCTTCCATCACTGCAGCTCACACCTCCTTTATAAGCTAATCATCCCCTGGATATCTTCCATCCATCTTGTGACATAATAAAAACCGCCTCACCTGATGATCTCACTGATCAGTGAACTCACAGGCACATGCTGCACTGCAAACCTGCACCACATATTACATTGCTGGTTAAATGAGGACACAGATAAGTTGTTGCTGTCGGAGCACAGCCACTGCAGAGGAGCATGTGCATTACAGCTGTTGAGTTATTTAAAACTCTGTTGCTGGAGTTTGTAGAGAAATGTGCTAAGCTTGCAAGCCTGCATCTCAAGCTCCCCTTATGCCTGCACATAAATAATATCTGAAACCCTGAACTACATAGAGTGGTGAATATTGCAGCCCAGACAGCATTTGGCTCCAAGTTCTAACACTTTATATTTGGGGTTGTATCTTTAGATTGTGCATCTAAATGCTCCATAGATTAAATCTCAATTTAGGATGCAAAGTTGAAAACAAGTTAGAAGCAGAAAGTGACATTTTTGGTATACAACACCAATCAGTGGTGCTTGCTATGATGATTTCTCCCAGTTCGTCGATTTTCTTCTGTGTTCTAATTAAGCTCAACGCTCCCAGCCATTAGACTGTGATGACAGTCTAATCAAATACTGTTTACACTATTTTAGCTCCTGTAGTTTAAATAAATGTTACTTAATGTTGGGCAATTTATAATTCAAAACCTATCAGGTTTAGTCTAAGCTAAATTGATTTTCTCTCCTTTTCATCTTCAGAAACCTGCTGGTTCGTAAAAGCTTATGTAGAAATTGTGAGAAGGTCTGTTGCATTTTCCAGGAAAGTTGGTTGGGAGTTTCTTTATTTCTTTTAAAACCCATACAAATTATAAATATTAATTTGAAATACTCTTCAGTTTTGCAGTTTTACAAATTCTCTTTCATTGATAACATATTCAGCACCTTAAAAAAGCCTCTTATCCAAATGCTATTGTAAGTCATTCAATGACACTGATCTGTCTTCTCATTTTTTGTTGTCTAATCTATATGTTAATTTTTAAAATGTGGGAATGAAGATATCTTGCTTGGTTATGAAAAAATAAAAAAAGGCTACCTACTGAACTTTTCCACATTCTGCCAGACTTTAAACAGATTTATTTTTCACAGATTTTATGTGATACACCAACAAACCAGGTGGTTTTTCACAGGGTTTCTTAACCCTGGCCCCTGAGGCCCCACTTCATGTTTTAGATGTCTCTACTATTAGGTGGCTTTTGTGTTACTTCAGAAAACATTTTGTCCCACTCCAAATGAGTGTAAAATTTACTCTGTAGGTGGTGACAGATTTTCATAGTTTTTTTTTTTTTTTTTTTTCAGAATTTTACTCGTGTTACAAAACAAGAAGACTCTTTCAGAGATTGGTTGAAATCAACACATTATAGAGTAGAAGTTACACTGCATGGCTGTAAAATTTTACAATTATTAACTCCAACACTTGAGCAGATTTACACTCAGTATATTTGTAAATACTCCATTTAGTGTTAAGTAGATAAACTCCCATTTTTAACTGTGTACTCAAGCACATCTGATTCAATTGGCTGCAGTACCTCCTCAGCAGCAATCAAGTGCTGCAAAGGCCTGTTAATCATCTTTTCATTCAAGCCAGGTGTGTGGAGGCAGGGAAACGCCAAAAACATGTAGGACAGTGGGCCCTGAGGACCAGGGTTAAGAAACTTTACTTTATCAGATTAGACCAGAGCTGAACATTACCTTTAAAACATACTTTTAGTTCAGTGACAATTGGGGGGGTCGATATCATGTTATGGGACTCTTCTTCTGCGGGAACAAAGGAGTCAACAGGAAGACGACTGGGTCGGATGCCAACTTTCCAGCAGGACTACAACTGTAAACATACAGCCAGGGGTTCGATGAAATGCTTTAGACCAAAGCGGGCATGGATCTGTTAGAAGGGTCCAGTCTAGGTTCAGCCTAAAATCCAATTCAATCTGTGACAGAACTTAAATGGTCAGACATTGCTGGGCATTAATGTGAAAAGACGATTCATCCATACATCAAAAGACTTGAAGCTGCAAATGCAGTGGAAGCTGAAAAATGAGAGAAAATTTTCCCTCTCTGATGTCGGTTCAATCATATACCATATCAAAATACATGGCTTGTAATCATGAAGAAGTTTTATGGGTTTTTCTAAGTCTTTGTGTATTAATATCTCCCTAATGTAGTGGTATATAACCCTTTTAATGTTCTCTTTCATTAAGACAAGAACAGTGATAAAATCTGATTAACTCATGACAAACTACTTCTAGTTTGAATCAAACTGGAGTCTTTGTGCTTCAGCTGCCCTGCATGTTCATTGTTTATTACAGCGGTAATCACCGTTTTTGTAAATAATTCCGTTTTAATCTATTACCTGCATTTATCCCAGATTATGGACAGAATACCTGAAAAGTTCTAGGTAGAATGACAGGATTTTGTTAGAAAACAACTCTTCTGACTGCACAAAGAAAGGAGGTAACCCATAATTAAAGCATAATTTGATTTATGCCCCGCCCAATACCCTGGATGCACTGTTCTTAAAAAATAATCAGCACCTCCATTTATGAAATTAAATATTTTAACTTCAAGAACAGACCAATAATTCACCAATAAACCCAAGTTTATCTTTCATTTCATTAGGACACATTGTGTTAAACTACACCAGGAATGTATGGCTTTTAAAGGCAGTAATAAACTCCTTAGAAACAAGTAGGTAACTTATCAGTTAAAAAATGTTTTAAAGCTTAATTTTGCATTTTAAAAATTAAATAAAAAACATTATGATTATTGTAGTCATTAAAAAAGTATACATTTGCCAAATTTTAGAACGATGTGCTATTTTAATTATTGGTATTTTCTAGAGAATGTAATGTGCTATTAAGGAGAGTGTAGGGCTGTATTAAAGAAAAAAATATTTTACTATTGTGAAACAGCTCACTAATTCCTAAAATTAAATCAATTTAATCATAAATCAATTCAATAAATTTTCCACTGTTCTTAAAGCCACCATTAACTACTACTACTTTAATAATTTGCTGCTGAATGTTAATACAAGTATCAATGCTGTATAACCACACAGCCAAAACAATCAATTCTAAAACGTGAGAAATTGTATTATTATTATTATTGTTAAGGCTAAATTGCAATTATGTAAGACGTTTTGGTATTCAGGAAATGGTGACAAGAAAACACCTTATGACCCAAATTTGCCAAAATATACAGTGAGAGCAATATCTAAAATGTACACTCACACAGAACAAATGTTTAAGTCCCATGTGTTTAAACCGTTAAGCACTCTTAGGACGGTGAGAAAGAAATGGGATCACCAGGTTCTTCAAACAATGTATAGACAAAGTCTTAATGCCTGCGAGTTGTTTAGGACCTCTCCTAACTAACGTAGAAAATTATCTCATTCTGACTATTAAGCATGATGGAGGAGGTGTGATAGTGTGGGCTCTTCTGAAAGGCTTTACAAATCATGATTAAGTGCAGAGTTTTATGACAAGTTTATAAAACCTACCGGGATCATTTTCTACAGAAGACAGTCTGAAGAGATTCAGTGTTCCATGAGGTTTCAAATAATATATATATATTTTTATTTATTTATTTTTTTACACATATACACACACACTCTGCCTGGCCAAAAAGAAAGTCGCCACCTGTATTCAACTAAGCAAATAGGTACGAGCCTCCTACTGGATAACTACTGCATGGGCGATTATCTTTCAGCTGGCAACAAGTTATTTAACCCTAACTGGTGCAATGACTTGCTTCTCATTTCCTAAACAACCATGTTGAAAGACAGATCCCGAGGTCATGGAAAATATGTTAAGTCTGTTTGAGAAGGGTCATTGGCATGCATCAAGCAGAGAAAACATCTAAAGAGATTGCAGAAACTACTAAAATTGGGTTAAGAACTGTCCAACGCATTATTAAAAACTGGAAGGATAGTGGGGACCCATCATCTTCAAGGAAGAAATGTGGCCGAAAAAAAATCCTGAATGATCGTGATCGGCGATCACTTAAACGTGTGGTGTGATCAAATCGAAGAAAAACAACAGTAGAACTCAGGGCTATGTTTAATACTGAAAGTAAGAGCATTTCCACACGTACAATGCGAAGGGAACTCAAGGGATTGGGACTGAACAGCTGTGTAGCCGTAAGACAACCACTAATCAGTGAGGCTAACCGGAAAAAAAGGCTTCAATTTGCTAGGGAGCATAAAGATTGGACTGTGGAGCAATGGAAGAAGGTCATGTGGTCTGATGAGTCCAAATTTACCCTGTTCCAGAGTGATGGGCGAATCAGGGTAAGAAGAGAGGCAGGTGAAGTGATGCACCCACCATGCCAAGTGCCTACTGTACAAGCCTGTGGGGGCGGTGTTATGATCTGGGGTTGCTGCAGTTGGTCAGGTCTAGGTTCAGGCACAGTATGTGCTTAAAGAATGAGGTCAACTGACTACCTGAATATACTGAATGACCAGGTTATTCCATCAATGGACTTTTTCTTCCCTGATGGCACAGGCATATTCCAAGATGACAATGCCAGGATTCATTGGGCTCAAATTGTGAAAGACTGGTTCAGGGAGCCTGACACATCATTTTCACACATGGATTGGCCACCACAGAGTCCAGACCTCAACCCCATTGAGAATCTTTGGGATGTGCTAGCAAGGGCTTTGCGCAGCGGTCAGACTCCACCATCATCAATGCAAGATCTTGGTGAAAAACTAATGCAACACTGGATGGAAATAAATCTTTTGACATTGCAGAAGCTTATCAAAACAATGCCACAGCTAATGCGTTCTGTAATCAAAGCTAAAGGCGGTCCAACAAAGTATTAGAGTGAGTGACCTTTTTTTTGGTGGCAACTTTTTTTTTTGGCCAGGCAGTGTATAATATATATATATATATATATATATATATATATATATATATATATATATATATATATATATATATATTCTCAACATTTTAACTGCAATTAGGATATTTTCTAAATCAATACTTGTAGAGGGTGCTGTTTATGTTGAGTGATCCCCTTAAGACTGATTCCTATTGTAATTCAGCACCAATAAACACCATTGAGCTGATGCATTGAAGACTGCTTTTTTCCCCAATTGTGAAATGATTTAAAGTCAATGATGTAATAAAAAATGGAAAGATCAGTATCAGCCTTTTTTGTTAAATGAGTAAAAGTTTGCATTGCTCCAAAAAACAAAAAAACAAAAGCCAAGTCAGCAAGTTGAGGAGACTCTGTTAAAGATGGCTGAAAAATGAGAGCACATACATAGAGTGAGGGGACTGTCTCGGTGACAGCACAGTGGGCAAGGAAAGAAGGAGGGAACACATGGAAATCAGCAAAAAGCACACTGAAGGTTAAGAAGAGAACTACAGTCTTTATTGGGAAATATTAGTATGAGTGGCACTGTGTGATAATAGTAATAAGAATAATAAAGAACCTACAAAACTATTGTAATACCATGCAAATAAGAGCAAAGACAAAGCCCGACCATGCTCTCTGTATGGTTAACAGAAGAGAAGCAGCATCCAATGAGTAGATGTTTATGCTTACAGCACATTTCAGTACAGCAGGGACATCTCTACACAAAGATTACATTAGAATCTGCTGCTCAATGTGGAAAAAAAACAACAAAAGTATAAAATAAACATGCATTAGGTTCTAATACAAAAACAAAACATAAGGCAGAAAGCCACAACCAAAGAATAAAAAGACATTTTGATTCTAAAAAGGATTTCTACAGCAGTGCAGGATATACACATCCCTGTAAAATGGATAGCATTCTGGAGGTGCTGGAGGATTTGAAAGGAGAGGGTGGGGGGGGGGGGGGGGGGGGGGCGGGGGGGGATAGTGCATGATAGTGGGTTATTTTCAAAAAAATGGCACAATGAGTTAGAGCTGCATCTCGCCAATTTACTGTGAAATCAATTCGGCTAGCAGGAACACAGGCTTGGACACATGGACGGGAGGGGGGTCTATGACCAGCTGTTTGGACAGCAGTTTTAACAGGTGCAGTGGACCAATAAGGGTGAAAGATAACCTCACTTAAATTGTGATGTCAGCACTATACAATGATATCCAAATTATTGCACTGCCTTATAAATATAGCCACTTGCTTTAAGTATAAAACCCCCAGTACAATGCACCTTTTGGATGGAGGCGGTAATCAAACAGTTCGATCAAGCCTGGCTATAATCGAATCCAGGAGGATCAAAATGTATCCACTTTACAGAAATTTACAGCAGAATGTAGTCTATCCACACTGAATGGGAGAATCACAATGACAGCCTGTAGTAAACTCTACAATGGGTTATTTACTAAAGAGCAACATGACAGTTTAAATAAAGACAAACTATTCTCCTACAGAAAAAAGGTGTTATTCTTTAGTCTGTTACACAGAAGGATACGGTATGAGTGGGAGCTCGGTTTGTTTGTCTGTTTTAATGCCAATGTCTTCTTCAGATGGAAAGAGGAAATGAGGAAGAAGGGGGTTCACAATACAGCTAGATGCAGAGAACAGGCAGAGGCTACGGCAGACAGCAGCAGATGATCGTTAGCTACACAATGGAGGGGGACAAAGGTCTGAGAAATGCGGAATGTAGAGCCAGCCTCGATACTATGGAACAGGAAAAAAGAACACAAATAAAAGCACAATGAAATCATTGGTGCTACTCCATGTAGTTTTAACAATCAAAACGTCTACTGCTACAACTATTATTATTATTACTACAAAAATCAGCACAGATAGCCTGCTGCCTCTAAGAGGCATATTTAAACGGCCAAATCAAAACATCTGAATCTCACCTTTTTTTTCTGGCCAAATTTAGCACTTATTGTAATATTAGAAATTGAGACATACAAGAAATATATTTCTATTTTTAATTAAGTTGTCTATTGGATCCAGAGGTGCCGTATGGGGGGGAAGTGGGAAGATACCAACGGCCCTGACTCAAAGGAGCCCCAATAGAAGAAAAAAAAAAAGATATGTCCCACTAGATATAAAAATATAAAAAGAAAATCCCGCAAAAAAATGAATGACCTTTCTCTTGTCCCTGATCTTATCCGCATTAAACAGCAAAACAAAGGTTATATTGCCCACCACACCCCCAAACTAAATAGGAATA